ATATCCAGGCCACCTGACACCCATTATCAGGCCTTGGCACAACGGGACCAGACCTCCTGGCACCCATCTCCCAGTCTCCCCGAGTCTGACTGATAACGCCCGGACCAACCCCAGGGCGAAGAATGCAGGACTGATCGTGCTCAAGAAGGCACTCTCAGCCCAGCCGCGGTGGCTCAGTGGCTGAGCATCCACCCCTGAACCAGGAGGTCACAGTTCGATTCCCCGTCAGGGCACGTGCCCGGGTTTCCGCTGGATCCCCAGTGGGGGGTGCAGGAGGCAGCCAATCAGTGATTCTCCCTCATCATTGATGTTTCTCTCTCTGCCTCTCCCTTCCTCTTTGAAATCGATTATAAGAAAAAAAATGGCCCTGACTGGTCTGGCTCAGTGGGTAGAGCATCGGCCTGCGGACTGAAGGGTCTCAGGCTCGATTCCGGTCAAGGGCATGTACTTTGGTTGCGGGCACATCCCCAGTGGGCGGGGTGCAAGAGGCAGCTGATTGATGTTTCTCTCTCATCAATATTTCTAACTATCCTTCTTCCTTCCTCCCTAAAAAATCAATAATATATATTTTTTTTATTTTTTTTTATTTTTTTATTTTTAATGTGCTTTTGCTCCTTAGGGGCACGTCTGGGTTTTTGCCTGGCTGTTTCCAGTTTGCAAACTCCAAGACCCTAGGATAAATCTCTATTGTTTATTTCTAGCAAAGCCTGAGTCTAGACTCCTTTTGCGTTTGCTCAACAAGTGCCTACTCCAGCGTCACCTCCCGTGTCGTCACGCCTTCTGGCTGCCCTTCCTGAGCCAGCCGCGGCCACTCCGGCTCCCCCGGCTCCCCCGGCTCCCCCGGCTCCCGGCCCAGGATCCGGTCTGTCCTGTTCCAGGCTGCGACCCCGCGCCCAGCGGAGGTCTCCGCCACCTCAGAGGACAGCCGGGAGGTCGATGTCAGGATCGCCTCCACCGGCTCTGCAGAGGGCCGGGGCCCGCCCAGAGCTGCGGCTCCCCGTAGGCCTGGCTCAGGCGCTCACGAGCTGCAGCTCCGGAGCGAGCGGTGGGCTCCTGTGTGTCCGGGAGACCAGGAGGGCCAGGCAGGGGCGTGGGGTCCCCTATCGCGTCCCCCGTGGCTCAGGGATCCTCTGCAGGGCTCCGTGTTCCGGAGAAGGCCGCACACAAAGGAAGAGAGACTGGAAAAGAGTTAATTTGGGAACATGGGGGGCCAGGCGGGAGTCCACCTTTTGCCATCCCTTTTATTGAGGTCCTGAGATACCCCCGCATCCTTCAGGCAGGAAGTCCCAACAATAGACAATCCGCAGGAATGTTCGTATGATGAGCAGGTGAACGTTGCTTCAGCTACCACGGTCTCAGCTAAACAGTGCGTGAATAGCTCCCGCCGTCCAGAGCCATTAGGCTGGCCAGCCTTCCCGATTCCCTTTTCACGTCTAACGGCCAGTGACGATGCTCGCGTCCGGCAGAGGGCGCCGGAGCAGGCTGCAGGGGAGGGTCCGGGGATGCGGTGGGCGGCAGGGAGCACGGCGGGGTCTGGACACACGCCGGGTCCCGCCCTGCGCCTCTCGGAGCCGAGTCCTTGTCCTGCCCCTCCGCCAATTCGCCAGAAACCAGGGCCTCCCTGGAGGCCTCGGTCCCTGTGAGTCACCCACACCTGGTGTCCGGTTCCACAAACACTCCCTGTGCCCAGCCCTGGGCCGGGCCGGGGACACAGTGGTGGCAAAGCACCCCCCTCCCCGGTCCTGCCCTCCCACTCACAGTCCAGTCAGTGAGGACCCAGGGGGTCAGGGTTGGGATGGGGGTCCCGGGGCACACCTGGCCCAGCCTGAAAGCCAGGAGGGCTGCCTGGAGGAGGGGGCGTTGTCGGCAGGAGAGGAGGCCGTAGAGGGGAGCAGGGGGACATGCCGCTGGAGGAAGTGCGTGTCAGACAGAAGAGTTGGAGCAGGAAGTTCCGCAGGGAAGGGGTGCCCCAGGGGGCTGGGGAGCCATGGCAGGTTCTACCCACCACGGTGGGTGAGGGGCAACGGCCACAGAAGAGTTGGGAGGGGAAGCCAGACAAGACCAGGGCCAGGGCCACGAGAGAAAGGAGCTCATGGGAGACACATTAGGCACCTTAAGGCACGGTGTGTGTGTGTGGGGGGGGGGGGATCAGGGGCTCGGCCTGTCTCTCTGTCCCATGACAGCGGCCGTGGCACCGTCCCTGAGAGGGGGCGGGGGGAGGAGCGGATCTGGGGCAGACGCCAAGGTCAGCTCGGGACGGGGTGAGTGAGAGGAGCGCAGGGACATCGGGGAGGCATCCTGAATGACACCGGGATGCGGTCCCAGGGCCCAGGGGAGGGGCCGGGCAGGACAGAGAGGGTGAGGTGAGGTCACGGTGGGGTGGGGAGAGCAGGTGGCGCCAGGTCACCCACACCGCTCACTCCCCCACCGGAGCCCGCCAGCGAGGGCAGCTCAGGACAGGGCCCTGGAGGAACAAACCAGGACAGGTGAGCCACTGCAGCCCCGGAGGCGCCAGGACCAGCAGCCACCAGGACATGATGATCGCACGTCCGTCAGGACCCCACCCCCAGGCCCCACCCCCCGCCCTCGCCCCTGCCCACCCACGTGAAACTCCACCCAACGTCACCTTCTCAGGGACACCCCCTCCCTTGCCCCTCAATTTAAAACTGCAGCCCTGACCGGTATGGCTCAGTGGATAGAGTGTCGGCCTGCAGACTCAAGGGTCCCAGGTCGATTCCGGTCAAGGGCATGTACCTTGGTTGCAGGCACATTCCCAGTGGGGGTTGTGCAGGAGGCAGCTGATTGATATTTTTCTCTCACAATGTTTCTGACTTTCCCTCTCTCTTCCTTCCTCTCTGTAAAAAAATAAAATAAAATAATATTTTTAAAAACAATAATAATAAAACTGCAAACCCCCTTCCTGGTTTTACTTTCCTAGACGTCACTTATCTCCATTCAACATGGAATAGACATTTAAAAATATATTTTATTGATTTTTTTACAGAGAGGAAGAGAGAGGGATAGAGAGTTAGAAACATCGATGAGAGAGAGTCATCGACCAGCTGCCTCTTGCACAACCCCTACTGGGGATGTGCCCACAACCAAGGTACATGCCCTTGACCGGAATCGAACCAGGGACCTTTCAGTCCGCAGGCTGATGCTCTATCCACTGAGCCAAACTGGTTTCAGCCAACATGGAATAGATTTTATGTTTGGTTTCTTTTTAAAAATATATATTTTATTGACTTTTTTACAGAGAGGAAGGGAGAAGGATAGAGTTAGAACACTGATCAGCTGCCTCCTGCACACCCCCTACTGGGGATATGCCCGCAACCAAGGTACGTGCCCTTGACCGGAATCGAACCTGGGACCCTTGAGTCCGCAGGCCGATGCTCTAGGGGTGTCGAACTCAATCAGAGAAGGGGCCAAAATCTAAAATCCAGCCTAAATCGCGGGCCGAATGGTTTACTGAACAGTCATAAACTGTCATTGTGATGGAAACGCAGCGGAGTGCAGTGATGACAGCGCGGTGCGGGCCACATTGCAAGGCCTGGCGGGACGGATTTGGCCCGCGGGCCTTGTGTTTGACACATGTGCTCTATCCACTAAGCAAAACTGGGTTAGGGCAACGTTTGATTTCTTTACCGCATGAACGTGAGCCCAGGAGGGCAGGGACTGGAGCTGCCAGCACCTAGGACAGTGCCTGCAGGAGGAGCTGCCCCCTCTGTGCTCGCTGAGCTGAGCCCGTGAATGAGCGATTCCCTGAGCATCTGCTCCGTGCCGGGCTTTGTAAGTCCCCCACGCGCGCTGCCTCACGGAGTGCTCACCACAGCCCGAGGAGGGGGCGCTGCCGTCATCCCCATTTTACAGATGAGGAAACTGAGGCCCAGAGTCCCGGCGGCAGAGGACAGGAGCGTCCGTCCAGGCCCACATTTTTAGGAGCAGCCACAGCCGCCGACCTCACGCGCGGGGCCCACTCTGCCGGGCGCCGGCTTCATGGATAACTAACGTGCGGCATCTTCCCCCACCGCCCGAGGGGGCTGCACCCTCACCGCTGGGTCCCGAGAGCACAGCCCCCAAGACAGCGTGCAGCCACCGGCCTTGTGCTCTCTGTGTGGCCTTCAAACCAAGCAGGGTTCAAATCCCTCCCCTGCCGGGACTTAGGCCAGTCAGGGCCCCTGCCCGGTGCCTCGGTTTCCCCAGCTGTAAAGAATGGAGGATTGCCGAAACCGGTTTGGTTCAGTGGATAGAGCGCTGGCCTGCGGACTGAAAGGTCCCAGGTTCGATTCCGGTCAAGGGCATGTATGTTGGTTGTGGGCACATCCCCGGTAGGGGGTGTGCAGGAGGCAGCTGGTCGGTGTTCTCTCTCATCGATGTTTCTAGCTCTCTGTCTCTCTCCCTTCCTCTCTGTAAAAAAATCAATAAAAATATATTTATTTTTTTAAAAAAAGAAGAAATGGAGGCTCGCCAAAACTGGTTTGGCTCAGTGGATACAGCGCCGGCCTGCAGACTGAAAGGTCCCGGGTTCGATTCTGGTCAGGGGCATGTACCTTGGTTGTGGGCACATCCCCAGTGGGGAGTGTGCAGGAGGCAGCTGGTTGATGTTTCTAACTCTCTATCTTTCACTCTTCCTCTCTGTGAAAAATCAATAAAATATATTTTAAAGAAAAGAAACCGAGCAGGATTCAAATCCCTCCCCTGCCGGGACTCAGGCCAGCCAGAGCCCCTGCCCGGTGCCTCAGTTTCTCCAGCTGTAAAGGAATGGAGGCTCTGAGGGCGCCCACCTCACAGGACACCCCCCGAGGCACCAGCTGGGAAGCGGCAGCCTCGGCTGCCTGGTTTCGCTGCTCCCTGACCCCTGAGCCCAGCCGGGAGGCCAGGGCCTGGGCCGTGGGTAGGAGCTGCCCTAAAACCTCCCCCCGCCGCCCCCCCCCCCTCCTCGGCGACCTGGTTCCTCTCCCGGCACCAAACCCAGGCCCTCGGCACAAAGAAGGTTAGGCGGTGCCCCAGGAGGCCTGGCCGGGTCGTGGCCCCTGGCCCGCGCCCGCCACGCCTGCTCCGGTGCCCAAACGGGGCCTCAGATCCTTGGTGACTCGATCCCTCCAAATTCAGGTGATCTCCCCCGGCTCCAAATCGCCGAGCCCTCCCAGGTCCCGCGCCAGACGGAGCCGAGCCCCAACCAGGAAGGGCCTCGGAGAGCACCGGGACGCCAACGCCGCCTCCGGGAGCCAGACCTGGGGCGAAACATGGCGCTGGCTGGGTGCAGCTGGCTCCTCCTCAGCGGTGAGCGGTGCCCGAGCTCAGCCCCACGGCCTCGGGGAGGGCGGGAGGGCGGGTGTGAGCAGGAGCCCCGCACCGGGCAGGGAGGCCTCCGCCCACGGGCACCCGCACGGCCCCGGCCGGCAGTGGGTAGGCAGGGCGGACCCCGGGTTTGCTGCTCAGACAAACCCTGGCTGAGGGGCAGAGGCTGACGCAGGGCGAGCTCTCGCCAGCAGCCTGCCCCTCCCTGAGGACCTTCCTCGGCCTCAGTCTCCTCACCTGTGAAATGGGCCCCACCCGCAGGGTCGTCCGCAGGTCGTTTAGGCAGCGCGTCAGGGCAGACCCTGCACCTGGAGCTGCCCTGAGGCCCCCCTCCTGGCCCCCACGTCCTAGACCAGGAACCTGGGGCTATGGGAAGCGAAGTCAGAAAGTGGCGGACACGCTGAGCCCGGAAAGTCCCGGAAAGCGGGCCGGGCGTGTGCGTGCTTCTCCCCGCCACGGCCTCCTGCTCCGCGGACACTCACTGCAGAGCCAGCAGCCCTGACCGGCTCCTGGGTCTGGAGTCGAGCTGTGGGGTTGAGAGGAAAAGGGGGGGCGGGTCTTGGTTATGGGGAGGCGAAGGAAGAGCACGGCCCTAGGAGTCAGGGCCAAGGGCCGGAGGAGCCAGCTCCGGCCTGAGAGCCTCCGTCTGCTGACTCTCTGAGCCCGTGAGTCCGAGGTCGCCTGAGCAGCAGGTGGGCAAAGTCTTGGGCCGGGTCCTCAGCACAGCTCACCCCATTCAATTCTCAGAACACGGGGTTCAGGCACCTCCAGGACCGGCTCTGCGCCCGGCTAACACGCACCGAGCCCCCAGGCACCCGGGAGCCCCCGTCCCCTTCTCCCTCCGACGGGGCGGCCGGCCGGCCAGGCCTGCCTCACCGCCCTCTCTGGCTCCTTCCCCAGCCGCGTTCCTGAGCACAGGGGCGGAGATCGCCATCACCCCCGAGCCCGAGCAGCCCGCCGAGGGGGACAACGTCACCCTGGCCGTCCGCGGGCTCTCGGGCGAGCTGCTGGCCTACAGCTGGTACGCGGGGCCCACCATCAGCCTGGCGCACCTGGTGTCCAGCTACATCGTCAGCACGGGCGACGAGACCCCCGGCCCGGCCCACACCGGCCGGGAGGCCGTGCGCCCGGACGGCAGCCTGGACATTCAGGGTGCCCTGCCCGGGCACTCGGGCACCTACATCCTCCAGACTCTCAACAGGCAGCTTCAGACGGAGGTGGGCTACGGACACTTGCGAGTCTATGGTGAGATAAGCCCCAGCCCTCCTCTTCCCCGGCCGCGCCTGGCCACCTTCCTTCCAACCCCTCTCCTTAAAAAAAAAAAAAAAATAGAAGAAAAAAATAAACAACTCTAAGCAATGTTAAAGCCATTAAAAAAAAACCCTAAAACAACAGGAACATGCCCGCCTCCTCCAGGGAGGCCTCCAGGGTTACACCCGCCTCCTCCAGGGAGGCCTCCAGGGTTACACCCGCCTCCGTATCCCATCCTTTGCCACTCTGGCTGGGGTTACGGGGGCACCCCCTCCCCCGGATCCTGCCATGCCCCCTGCCCGGGGACGGGGAGGCCCCGGGAGCAGGCGGTGCCCGGGGCCCTCCCCCTCTGCCTCTTGCCCCACAGAGATCCTGGCGCCGCCGGTGGTCATCGCCAACAGCACGGAGCTGGTGGAGCGGCGGGACACCCTGCGCCTGGTGTGCAGCAGCCCCAGCCCCGCCGAGGTGCGGTGGTTCTTCAACGGCGAGGCCCTGCCCATCGCCCTGCGCCTGGGCCTGTCCCCCGACGGCCGCGTGCTGACCCGGCACGGCATCCGCCGGGAGGAGGCCGGCGCCTACCAGTGTGAGGTCCGCAACCCGGTCAGCGCCAGCCGCAGCGAGCCCCTCAACCTGAACGTGTACTGTGAGTCCCCCAGACCGCAGCCGGGAAACCGAGGCCAGGACAGGGCGCCGGGGCAGGCAGCGCGTCCGCGGGTGTCCTGGGGTCAGGCATCGGGGGTCCCTCCGGACATGGGTCTGGCCCATAAGGACACTTTTGAGATGGAATCATCCCCCGGGTTGAAGCAATTCCCTCAGGGAAGGGGCAGCCCTGGTGTTTGAAAGGGAGGCGGGAAGAGAGTTGCATGAAATAAAAACACTAGCAGAGCCGGGAGCCGTCGCCAGGGGCCGCCGGTGTGGGGTGCGGGACCAGAGGAAAATTAACCGCTGAGGGACTCGAGGGCCAGGGCCGTGGACCATCTCAGAACCTAGACGGCACAGCCAAGGACCTCGGTTTAAGAAGCCCTGAATTCTAGGCGCTGAGGGCCCGGTCACTCCAGAAGCAGAGATTCTTAGCCGCTTAGCATCTCAGGCTGCCGCCGCAGAGCCATCCGGCCCGAGCATCTCAGAAAGCTAGTCTCCTAGACTCTCCATCCCAGTCTGAAATGTCCCTCGCATGCTAGGCTTTTAGAATGGCTTCTCGGAAACCAGTCGCTTAGACTTATTATTATTATTATTATTATTATTATTATTATTAATGGAGCCATCGGTTTCAAACACCTGAGATGTAGTCTGGCTCAACCCCCTCTTTTTCCAGAAGAGAAACTGAGACCCCCTGAGAGGGAAAGGGACTCCCGATCCTGCCCAGAGCAAGTTAGAGCCCCGGGTGGGATTCGAAAAGGACAGAGCTCTTGCCAGGGGGCCCAGCTCTTGCCGGGGGGGCCCGGCCGGGTGGAAGGAAAACCAGTGGCGCCCCCTCCCTCCCCTCCCCCCCTGCTGCCCCGTGTGTCTCGCTCCTGCCCCACAGATGGCCCGGAGCGCGTGGCCATCCTGCAGGACTCCACCACCCTCACGGGCTGCACCATCAAGGTGGACTTCAACGCCTCCCTCACGCTGTGGTGCGTGTCCCGGTCCTGCCCGGAGCCCGAGTACGTGTGGGCCTTCAACGGGCGGGCGCTGAAGAACGGCCACGACCACCTCAACATCAGCGGCATGACGGCCGCCCAGGAGGGCACCTACACCTGCATCGCCAAGAACCCCAAGACCCTGCTGTCCGGCTCCGCCTCGGTGGTGGTCAAGCTCACGGGTGAGCGGCCCGGCCGGGCCCCTGTCCCCCTTTACCCGCCCGGGAGGCCCGGTGGCCGGAGAGGCCTGGCCGCCCCCCGGCAGTGAGGCCACCGGCCACCGGCCCCCCAGCTGAGGACGGGAGACGGGGAGAGGCTGGCCGTTGGGGGGACGGACCCCTCTCCGTCCAGGCGGCAAAGGAGGCGGAGCGTCCTGTCTCCTGGGAAACAGACCACAAGCCTGAGTGTCTTCCCTGAGGGGTGGCCCTGGGCGGGAGGAGCGGGCACAGGCCCCACAATGCACAGCGGCAGCGGGCACAGACCCCACAATGCACAGCGGCAGCAAACACAGGCCCCACAATGCACAGCGGCAGCGGGCACAGGCCCCACAATGCACAGCGGCAGCAGGCACAGGCCCCACAATGCACAGCGGCCGTGGGCACAGGCCCCACAATGCACAGCGGCAGCGGCCACAGACCCCACAATGCACAGCGGCAGCAAACACAGGCCCCACAATGCACAGCGGCAGCGGGGAGAGGGGGCCCTGGTCTTAACTCAGTCGCAGCCGCTAAGGGGCTGGACCCACGCCCTGGGGGAGGCCACTGAGTTTCTGGGCGGCCGGTAGATTACCCCGGTATCTGGCCCAGACCACGGTGTGGGCACACACTGGGCCTCCTCTTCTCTTCTCTTCTCTTCTCTTCTCTTCTCTTCTCTTCTCTTCTCTTCTCTTCTCTTCTCTTCTCTTCTCTTCTCTTTTCTCTCCCTCTCTCTCTCTGAAAATCACAGCCGATGGAAAAACACAGCTGGGCTGAGCGGCCCTGTCTTATCCTTGTCCTCAAACGCCCTGGGGGCTGGGGCTCCGGGCCGCAGGCACAGCTGGCGCTTTCAGGGCCTCAGGAGCCTCAGGGGACACTGCTCCTCCCCTGGGGACGGTGCTCTGGGCCTGAGGGTCTGACTAATCCCGTCTCGGTTCCTTCCCAAGTGGCCCCCGTCCCCCGGGGACAGTGGGAGCTGCCGTCCCCCCCCCCCCCTCCTTCCCTCCTCCTTCCTGCAAACAGGCTGGGTCTCATCCAAAGGGTGGATCCTCTTTCACCTAAAGCAGAAATGACACCCCCAGAGGTAAGTGCACCTCCTGCCCCACCCCGCCCCGGCCCAGTTTCGGGTAGGAGACAGGGGGGTGGACCAGCTGACCTCAGGGGCTGCCCCAGGCCCTGCCATGTGGGGGCGTCCCTGGCGCGCAGGTATGTGCAGGGGGTGGGTCCAGGGCCTTCTGAGTGGTCAGCACGCCGGTGGCCGGTGCCAGGAGGGAGACAGAGGAAAAGGAGACATCCCTCTTCCCCCCGCCCCCCAATCTGATGGAGGAGACATGGCCCCAGAACAGGGAGGCGTGGCCTCCTCATGCCAGAAGCTGCCAGTCAGAGAGGAGAGGCAGCGGGGGAGACCTGGCCCGCCCTCATGAGCTTCCAATCAGGTGGAGGAGGCCCCATCCACTCGTGGGGAGATTTTCTATTCTGATGGAGGAGACATGGCCTTGAGGAGACAGGGGCCATTTATTTAATTATTCATTCATTCGTTCATTCATTCATTCATTCAGAATTCCTAGTCTGATGGAGGAGACACAGGCCCCACCTTGGGGGCTACTCCCGATCTGATGGGGGAGTAGAGCCCTCCCACTGGCTAGGAATTTCCAGCACGGGGCCCCAATCCAGCCTCCGGGGGCCCCAGCCTGATTGGAAAGACCGAACCCCGATGGAGGAGACACGGCCCCGCCCCTCGGGGCCCTCACAGGCCAGGCCTCTCCGCCCCACGGGAATGGCACACACACACACACACACACACACACACCCGGCACACAGCTCCCAGCTATCTGATGGGAAAGACGCGGTCCCCGCGTTCTAGAATTTCCGATCTCACGGGGGAGACACGGTCCCCCATTTTCTAGAATTTCCCATCAGGTAGGGGAGACGTGGCCCCTCTAGTTGGGGAGTCTGCAATCTGATGGAGGAGACAGGACCCTGTTCTCTAGGGTTTTGCACTTTCGTGGGAGAAAGACACCCCAAAGGCTGGACATTTTTAGTCTAACGGAGGGAGATGGCCATCCCCCGGCCCCCCAGGGCCGCCCAGTCTGACCCAGGAAGACAGAACCCCTGCGGGCATTGTCGGACCCGAAACCCTCCACCACGACCACACAGTCACCCCTTCCTCTGTCTCCTTCCCAGAACCTGCCCGAGGGGCACCGGCCCCCGGGGGGTCGGCAAGGCCGAGCCAGCCGGGGGCAGGACGGGGCGCGATGCCCGCCGAGGCCCCGCTGAGCCCGCGCCCTCCTCTCCTCTCTCCCCAGCGGCCGTGGTGGCCATGTCCATCGTGCCCGTGCCCGCCAAGCCCACGGAGGGCCAGGACGTGACGCTGACGGTGCAGGGCTACCCCAAGGACCTGCTGGTGTACGCCTGGTACCGCGGGCCCGCCTCCGAGCCCAACCGGCTGCTCAGCCAGCTGCCCTCCGGCAACTGGATCGCCGGCCCGGCGCACACCGGCCGCGAGGTGGGCTTCGCCAACTGCTCGCTGCTGGTGCAGAAGCTGAACCTCACCGACGCCGGGCGCTACACGCTCAAGACCGTCACGCTGCAGGGCAAGACGGAGACGCTGGAGCTGGAGCTGCAGGTGGCCCGTGAGTGTGCGGGGGGCGGGGCGGGGGCAGCGTGCAGGCGGGGGCTCCCGGAACAGGGCTTCTCTCGCTCTTCCACGGATGTGCCTTCCCACCAGCCTGCAAGAGGGGACCCGGCCTCCTCCATCTGACTTGGGGGTCCCCCAATAAGCTCTTCCGTCTCTTCTGCCAAACTGACGGCCTAGCAAGGGTCCCCAGGCCTCCTCCATCACTTCTCTCTCACACCAGACTGAAAGCAGAGCAGGGCGTCCTTTCCCCCCAGACGAGTGGACCCCGGAAGGCGCTGCTTCTCCCACCGTCCCTGGGAGCTGGGCTAACGTGGGGAGTTGACCTCCCCTTCCAGCCTGGAGGTGTAGGATGGATCACGCCTCCCTCCTCAGACTGTCACCTAGGCAATGGGGATCGCGCCTCATCCTTTGCATTCCAGTAGGAATCCGGACAGAATCTCTCCCAGCAGAGGGTGGAGTTTCTCAAACTGAAATGGGAGTAGCCTGCTCCGTTACCACGGAGGTGTCTAGGTGGTGGGCCGTGGGCCTCCTCTGTCAGACTGGGAATTCCCAGACGTTAGGGCCCACAACTCCCAGGCTGGGGGTGCCCGGGAGCTGGGAACAATGTCTCCTCCATCAGATGGGGCTCCCAGGTGTTGGGGACCGTGTCTCCCCATCACACTGGGAGTTCCCAGAGTCAGGAACAATGTCTCCTCCATCAGACTGGGAATTCCCAAATGCTGAGGACCATGTCTTTCTCACCAGAGTCAGGGACCATGTCTCCTCCATCAGACTGGGGGCTCCCAGAATTAGGGACCATGTCTCCTCCATCAGACTGGGGGCCCCAGAGTCGGGGACCGTGTCTCCTCCATCAGACTGGGGGTCCCCAGAGTCAGGGACCATGTCTCCTCCATCAGACTGGGTCTCCCAGTGTCTCCTCCATCAGACTGGGGGCCCCCAGAGTCAGGGACCATGTCCCCTCCATCAGACTGGGGGCTCCATCAGACTGGGGGCCCCCAGAGTCAGGCACCATGTCTCCTCCATCAGACTGGGGGCTCCCAGAGTCAGGGACCATGCCTCCTCCATCAGACTGGGGGCTCCATCAGACTGGGGGCTCACAGAACCAGGGACCATGTCTCCTCCATCAGACTGGGGGCTCCCAGAGTTAGGGACCATGTCTCCTCCATCAGACTGGGTCTTCCAGTGTCTCCTCCATCAGACTGGGGGCTCCCAGAGTCAGGGACCATGTCTCCTCCATCAGACTGGGTCTCCCAGTGTCTCCTCCATCAGACTGGGAGCTCCCAGAGTCGGGGACCATGTCTCCTCCATCAGACTGGGAGCTCCCAGAGTCGGGGACCATGTCTCCTCCATCAGACTGGGGGCTCCCAGAGTCGGGGACCATGTCTCCTCCATCAGCCTGGGGGCTCCCAGAGTCGGGGACCATGTCTCCTCCATCAGACTGGGTCTCCCAGTGTCTCCTCCATCAGACTGGGAGCTCCCAGAGTCGGGGACCATGTCTCCTCCATCAGACTGGGAGCTCCCAGAGTCGGGGACCATGTCTCCTCCATCAGACTGGGGGCTCCCAGAGTCGGGGACCATGTCTCCTCCATCAGCCTGGGGGCTCCCAGAGTCGGGGACCATGTCTCCTCCATCAGCCTGGGGGCTCCCAGAGTCGGGGACCATGTCTCCTCCATCAGACTGGGGGCTCCCAGGACCAGGGACTGTGTCTCCTCCTTCAGACTGAGCATCCCAGACTCTGAGAGGCCATGTCCCAGGATCAGGGCCGTGTCTTCCCCTCCAGACCAGGAGCCTCAGACACTCAGGTCGTTCATTCCCCAGGCTGGAGTCTTGCCTCCCCCCTCAGACCAGACGCTCTCAGAAGCCAGGCCCCTGAGTCAGGGACAAAGTCGCCCTCCCTCGGCCTTGAAGCTTCTAGGATCAGGGACCCAGTCCCTGGCAGGCACCCGGACCCCCTCTTTCATCCACTCACTGGTTTTCGGGGTCAGTGTTGGGGGGACAATGCTGTCCAGTGACAGCAGGCACCCCCCTCCCCCGTGAAGCCCGGACCCCCTTTCACTGTCTCTCTCCTCACAGTCAGCCTCCCTCCCTTGCATGAGGACCAGCGCTACCTTCCTGCACCTGAACCTGGACAGGCTGAGCGTGGGGCGGGCGGGCCTCCGGGGGGCAGGGCGGGCAGAGGAGCGGGGGGGCGGGGAGGGGCACCGGGGACGGGTCCTCTGCCTCCCTGACGGCCCCCTCCGCCCTCTGCCCCATCCTCCCCGCAGCCCTGGAGTAACAGCGCCGCCCCGGACACCTCCCGCGAGAAGACCCAGCCCGTGCCACCCTCGCCGCCTCCCCCTGAGCGGAAGGTCTCCGTGGCCACGGCCCTCTGTTCTCCCGCTCCCACCATAGTTAGAGCCGGCAGCGCCTGCGCCTCACCGAGCTGCCGGACGCCAGAGGCCATAAACGTGCTGGTGAACTCAGTGTGTCGCCTCTCCTTCCACCCGCCGGCCTGCCACTGCCCACAAGCTTCCTCTCCCACCCAAGGTCATTCTCAGTCTGTGTGTGTGTGTGCATGTGTGCATGTGTGTGCGTGTGTGTGTGTGTGCATGTGTGTGTGCACGTGCACAGGGGAGCCCAAACCACAGGGCTGCAAGTCCCCAATGCTTAATGGCAGGGCCCGGGGCCCTTCCCACCTCTGCCCAGGCTCTCGCTGCGGGTCCTGCCCCCCAGGGGAGCCAAAGACTGCCCCTTCCATGGACACCAGGAGCGCTGGGCTCTGCAGGACATGCCCTCTCTGTGCTGGGCTTCACTCCACCACCCAGGCCCGGAAGCAGAGCTGCTGGTGTGCCGGACGGTTATAAAATCCGAGCCATAACCTTGCATATGCCGTGGGTTCAATAGACCCTCCGTATGGCCAGGTGTGGGCTCAGGGTAAACTAGAGTTTTCCAAACCGTTATTATTAGCCTCAGGGCTCTTTCTCTCCATGCAAGCTTCAACGGTAGGTCAATGTGTTATTTAAAAGCAGCAATGCAGCCCTGGCCAGTGTTTCTCAGTGGTTAGAGCATCCGAGGGTCATGGGTTCCATTCCTGGTCAAGAACAGGAACCTGGCTCGCAGGTTTGATCCCCCCACCCCTGGTTGGGGCACATGTGGGAGGCAACCAGTCGATGTGTCTCTCTCACATTGATGTTTCTCTCTCCCTCTCTCTCCTTTCCACTCTCTCTCTAAAAAAAATACATCAATAAATAAAATAGCAATGCAATAAAGGTAGGCATCAGTTCAAAAGCTATAGCCTTCTCTCCACATTTGAAAACAGTTCCTTAAATGTAAATAATGTTTAGATTATAGAGGTCATTAAAATATCAACCAGAATCAAACGGCAGTGAAAACACTCCGTATAGAAAGCCGTGGGATGTGGCCAGAGCCACGCTGGGCGGGGGCATGCTTAAAGGGATTGGACGTAATAAAAGAAAAGAACTTCCAAGTAAGGCAAATAAGCTTTCCACTCAAGAAACTAGAAAAAAGCCCACAAAATAAATCAAAGAAAAACAAGGTAAGACACAGAGGACGATCGAAGCAAAAATGGACGAAATATAAGAAAAATGGGAGCTGGTCAGTAAAACCTGAAGTGGCTCTTTGAAAATGCCAATAAAACAGACAAACTTTCTGTGACGAGAGGCGGAGGAGACGCATCTATGACAGAAAGGAGAAACCGCTCTGGTTGAAGCAGGTCTGTGTGTCCCGGGTTAGATGCTCAATAAATATATATGGGCCGGGAATACATAGCAGGTTTGTGAACTGCTCCCCAGCAGCTCTTCCCCTCTCCTCTTCCATGAGAGCAAGCACTGACTGCCATGAAGAAAGATTAAATAATGTCAGGAACTCACCTTCCCAGACTGCTTTGCAGCTACCGGAGGCCATGTGACCCAGAATGGCCAATGAAGAAAGGAGAGAGCCAGAAGTCCTGCCCACTTAGTCCAGGGGGCACTAAGCCTTTGGAAGCTATTACCTAAACCAGTGGCCTCTGATATGAGGTTTCCCAGGCAATAACACAGCTAGAAACTGAGGATGCACTTGAGCCCATACTCTTAATCCCAGCACTACTCCACCCCCAAATGGGAAAGAGAGTCCACATTCTCCCCACCCCTCCAAGTTCACTTAAGAGCCAGTGACAGCCCTCACCTCTACAGCTCAGCAGATAGAGTATCTGCCTGTGGACTAAAGGGTCCCAGGTTCGATTCTGGTCAAGGGCACATACTTCAGTTGCAGGCTCCTCCCTGGCCCAGAGGAGGCAACCAATTGATGTGTTTCTCTCTCACATCGATGTTTCTCTCTGTCTTTCCTGCTCTCTTCCACTCTCCCTAAAAATCAGTGGGAAAATATCCTTGGGTGAGAATTGACAACAACAATAAAAAAAAGTCATTGATACTCCCTAACCAGTTTGGCTCAGTGGATAGAGCATCAGCCTGCAAACTGAAGGGTCCCAGGTTCAGTTCTGATCAAGGGCTTATACCTTGGTTGCAGGCATATCCCCAGTGGGAGGTGTGCAGGAGGCAGCTGATCGATGTTTCTAACTCTCTATCCCTCTCCCTCTTTAAAAAATCAATAAAATGTATATTTAAAAAAAAAAAAGTCAGTGACATACATAGGGCTCAAGTCTAGGTATATCAGTGAGAATTTCCTTTCAGGGGCCAGTAGGAGAGACTGGAAATAACACACACAACCGAAGCGACGAAGAGAAAAGTAACGTAAGATAAGACAGGAACTGGCATATGTAAGCATGGCTTGCATGGATGGAAGGTTGCCTCTGTCACACATAAAAACGCACTCATAAACACACTGCTCAGAGCTGGGATGGTGGGGCCGTGGTGTCATTGGGGACACGGCTCTTTCTCTTTCTGCTCCATTGTTCTGGGCTTGGGCCTTCCATTCTCTTCATTACCTCGTGGTCCAAGAGCGACAGCCGCCTCATCCATGTTCAGAAAAGAGGGGGCAAAAAGCAACAAGAGCCCCACACCCATTCATGGACGGTGTTATATATAAAATATATATATAATATATTTCATTGATCTTTTACAGAGAGGAAGGGAGAGGGACAGAGAATTAGAAACATCGATGAGAGAGAAACATCAATCAGCTGCCTCCTGCACTGGGTATGTGCCCGCAACCAAGGTACATTGACCGGAATTGAACCCGGGACCCTTGAGTCCGCAGGCCAACGCTCTGTCCACTGAGCCAAACCGGTTAGGGCATGGACTGTGCCCTTTTTCAGAAACTTTTCTCAAAGTCCCATCCTACAACTTCCACGTACATCTGATTGGCCAGCTCTTGGTCACGTGATGACCCTAGCTGCGAGGGAGGCTGAGATGTAGAGTCTTTTCCCTGGGGACACTGCTGCCCCCGAGAACATCAGGGTCCTGCTACCAAGAAAGACAGGAAGAATGGCTCCCAGGCGGGCAGCTGGCAGGCTCTGCCACGCTAGACCTTAGATCTCCTACCTTCCACGCCGGACAAAATGAGCTTTCTCACCAGTGGGAGCCACAGCCATGGCAGCAGGGAGCGGGGAGAGACCGGCGTTGTATTTAGCTGGGTCTTGCTTTGTGCACTTCAGAATGAGGCCAGTAGGAGGGGCGCTGGGAGCGACAGCGGAGGCGGCTCAGGTTTCTGGGTCAAGCAGATCCTGTATCTGCAGGGCGCAGTGGCTCAGGTGTCCCCAAAACCAAGTCTCCCATCTCTCTGGCTATCTCTGGGCTCCTTGACTGAATCCTTCGGGCCATCCAGTTCCCTCCTGTCACAGAACAGCAACAATAACCACAAAATAATAATAGCCTCTGTATTTTGGGCACCGATTTTGCCAGGCGCTATCTCAAAGGATTCCTACAGCAGCCCTTACGAGTGGCTACTGCCAGTTCCTCCATTCTACAGGGAGGAAACTGAGGCACAGGACCCACCGTTTCCGCGGCTGCTGTGCAGAGCCCCTGGCTGGTGAGTCCCCTTCCTTCCTCCCCAGGGCAGGTGCTCAAGGACACAGGCTTGGGGCCCCGACGGAGCTGAGCTGGCCACGCATCATTGCTGTGGGCAGGTTGCCTGTAAAAATCCTATACAATAAAACCCTTATATGCAAATCGACCAAACAGCAGAAGGACCGGTCACTATGACACACTCTGACCACCAGGGGGCAGACGCTCCATGCAGGAGCTGCCCCCTGGTGGTCATGTGCTCCCACAGGGGGAGCTCTGCTCAGCCAGAAGCCGAGCTCACGGCTGGCAAGCACAGCGCAGTGGCAGGAGGAGCCTCTCGCGCCTCCTCGGAAGCACTAAGGACCCCTTGGGGGATGTCTGACTGCTGGCTCAGGCCTGCTCCCCACCAGCAGGCGGACATCCCCCGAGCGGTCCCGGACTGTGAGAGGCGCAGGCCAGGCTGAGGGACTCTCCGCCCCCCAGTGCGCCAGGGGTCAGGGTACATGATAAGTAAGATAATAATAGTGGCCATCGCCTGGCCAGTGTGGCCCAGTGGCTGAGCATTGACCTACTAACCAGGAGGTCAATTCCCGGGCAGAGCACATGCCGGACTGTGGGCTCAGTCCTCAGTAAGGGGTGTGCAGGAGGCAGCCAGTCGGTGATTCTCTCTCATTACTTATGTTTCTCTCTCTCCCTCTCTCTCTGAAATCAATAAAAATATACATTCTTAAAAATAATAATCACAGTGGCCATCGCTGTGGCCAGGGTGGCTCAGCTGGTCGGAGCAGGTGCCGTGTCCCGAAAGGTAGCCGACTGATTCCCGGTCAGGGTGCATGCCCAAGGCTGCAGGCTCAGACGCCAGCAGGGGGTGTGCAGGAGGCAGGATCGATGTCCCCCTCTCACATCAGTGCTTCTCGCTTTCTCTCCGTCTCTAAAGAATTATTTTAAAATATATTTTTAAATAGTTCCCACCTCCTAGGATTGTTGAAAAGATTAAATGAGTCGAGCAGAGAACCCAGCACACGTGTGCTTGGTAAAGGTCTTTGACCGAGTAACGTTTTGTTAGCTTCTGACGACAGGCAGATAGAAACGCCAAAAAGCAATCATTTTTTGGCAATGCCTTCTTCCTAGGGGACTGAATTAACCCTGCCACACAGGTTTGCCTTGTTTTATGAAATACATAATGTTCTTGAACGTTATAATTCCAGAAAACTCCTTACAAGAAAATATCATAAATGTGTAGGGGCTTTTACGGTCATGACTTCACTCATCTCGGGTTCAGGGGCAACATGCTCTGAACACGGGTTCTCTACCTTGCTCCTCATCCCCCAATCCCCTAGCTGCTTATTAAAAATCCACAAGGTCCAGTCCTGGCTGGTGTGTTCAGTGGTCAGAGCATTGGCCTGCATGCCGAAGGGTCCCAGGCTAGATTCCCAGTCAAGGGCACTGTGGGAACCACACCAGAGTCCGCAGAGAGTCAAGGCAACCGAGTGTGAGAGGCCTTGTCCATGGTACGC